TTTAGTTCTTTTTCTTAGGTTTTGTTTTGCTACTTTGTTCAGAACATAGCCTCCTTTCTCTGTTTTTATTTCTATGTACTAAGCATATTGGTTACATATTCTGATCTTGGAGAAGTGGCCTTATGTAGGAGACATCCTATGGGGCCCAGCAGCACACTCCCCTCTGCTCACCAGAGCTGTATGCTCTCTAGGGGTGCTCCCAGGTTGGGTGTATATGTATTTACAATTGTTGTATCTTCTTTTTGAATTAATCTCTTGACATGATATTATAGATAGAAAATCCTAAAGACGCCACCAAAAAGCTATTAGAACTTACAAATGAATTTGGTAAACTTTCATGATACAAAATTAATATACAGAAAACTGTTGTACTTCTTATACAGTATCAATGAACTATCAAAAAGAGAAGCTAAGAAAACAAATCTATTTATAACTGCATCAAAAGAATAAACTACCTAAGAATAAATCTAACTGAGGAGGTAAAAGAGTTGTATGGTAGAAACTAGAAGGCATTAATGAAAAAAACTGAAGACAACAAAAACAATTTCAAAGATACTCCATGCTCATGAATTGGAATAATTAATATTGTTAAAATAACCATACAACCAAAATACAGATTCAGTGCAATCCCTATCAAAAGGGCACATTTCACAGAACTAGAACAAATTATTCCAACATTTGTATGGAAACACAAAAGACTGACTAGCCAAAGCAATCTTGAGAAAGAAGAACAAACTTGGAGGTACCATGCTTCCTAATTGCAAGCTACACTACTACGCTATAGTAATCAAAACAGTAGGTACTGGCACAAAAGCAGACACAGAGACCAGTGGAACAGAATAGAGAGCCCAGAAATGAACCCAGGCTTATATGGTCAGTTGAGCCATGAAGCGGACACAAGGAAATACAGTGGTGAAAAGACAGACTTTTCAATAAATAGTTCTGAGAAAACTAAACAGCTACATACAAAAGGCTCAAACTGGACTACTTTCTCACATCATATACAAAAAATAAACTCAAAATGGATTGAAGACTTAATGTTTAAGTCCTGAAGCTCTAAAATGCCTAGAAAAAAATACAGGTATTAGGCTCTTTGATATCAGTCTCAGCAATGTTTTTTTCAATATTCAATATTCAATTTCAGAGGATGGAACAAAACTCAAACTAAACAAATGGGCTACATCAAACTAGAAACCTGTGAAGGAAACTACTAGCAACAAAAAGGCAGCCTATTTAATGGGAGAAGATACTTGCAAATGATATCTGATAAGGAGTTCGTGTTCAATACACAAAGACACACACAACTCAACATCAGATAAACAAACAATCCCATAAAAAATGGGCACAGGAACTGAATAAACATTTTTCCAAAGAAGATACAGACATGGTCAATAGACACTTGAAAAGATGCTCAACTCACCAATCATCAAGGAAATAAAAATCAAAACCACAATGAGGTACCACTTCATACCTGTCAGAATGGCTACTATCAGAAAGGCAACAAGTAACAAGCGTTGGAGAGGATGTGGATAAAAGGTAACCCTCATGCACTGTTGGTGGGATCATAATTTGCTACAGCCACTATGGGAAACAGAATGGAGTTTCCTCAAAACACTAAAAATAGAACTGCCATATGATCTGATGATTTCACTTACGAGTATTTACACCAAAAAAACCCTAAACACTAATTGCAAAGGATAGTAGCATTATTTATAATAGCCAAGATATAGAAGCAACCTAAGCGCCCATCAATAGACAAATGGATAAAGAAGATGCTGTGTGTGTGCGTATAAATGAAACAAAACCAAACAAGATGAGACTCATAGATACAAAGAATAAATGTGTGGTTGCCAGAGGATAAGATGGTGGGGGTGGCGAAATAGGTGAAGGGGTTTGAGAGGTACAAATCTCTAGTTATAAAATAAATAAGCCAGAGGGGTGTAATATACAGCATAAGGGACATGGTGAATAATATTTTATGGGGACAGATGATTACTAGACTTCCTGTAGTGATCATTTTATAATGTATGCAAATACCAAGTCACTGTGTAGTGCACCTGAAACTAACACAATACTGTACCTCAACTATATTTCAGAAAAGAAGAGGAAAGCTTACATAGGAAGCCTGGGTTCTCATCCTGGATTTTTCACTAATAGGTTTATTATTAGTCGTATAACCTCAGTGGGCCTCAGGCTACCTCTCAGAAAAAGGCGGCCAAACTAAATTACATCTAAGGGTTCTTTCCAGCTGGAAAATTATATGAATCTGCAACTTGACATAGTAAATACGCATTTTTAAAGCACATTCATTATATTTAACTTTATGCAAATAGCCCAACAAACCTGCGGCAATAGCTTGGGCCAAAGGATAAAGGGGAAATTGCCCAAATAACACAAAGGTAGCTTAAAAAACATGATGATTCACTCTGGAAGCATGACCCGGCATTTACAGTACATGCACATTCTTTTGGGAAGTGGTTTTATCTGCCCTGTTCTCCCAACCCCAACACCTGAAGGGGATCTGCTTCGTACCTGTTGTATTCTCTGTATTACTAATTTTCAAAGACTACGCACTGGACAAATAGCAGGAGCTTTCCCAGAAGAGCATTAAAACAGGCCCTAAGGCATAAGGGAATCTAGGCTGAGTCGTCATAATTATAGTAGCTGGACAGCAGCAGAACAGGAATGGCAAATATTTTCTCTAAACAAAACAGCACACAGTTTAATCAGGCCGTCCGTGTCATGTGGGATGGCATAAAGTCATTGCTTTCTTTTCGGCTGAGAGGAAATAGTTTTCTTAGTAATCCAGAAACACCAGCCATAGTCCGTATTGTAAGATTTAAGCAGCCCACATTTAATTCAAATTGAGGTAACCTACAGAATTCATGACAAGGTCTATAGTGAAAAG